CATATAAAATATTTCCCTTTGGAGATCATAATATGATTCTTGTAGGTTGTCATAAGTTAACATATTATTGTTCTTATAACAATTATAATATGATTCCTACAATAATAATATGATTAAAGTTTTGGAAAAAATTTTACTATAAAATGGTCACTACAATCATAATATATTTTTAATTTTACCATAATTTGTTCTTTAATTTACCATTATATTATCCCGATAAATAACATCAAATATTTAAAGGAATCATTTTATTACCAACAAAGAACACTTTTTATTAAAATAACAATTAATCAAAATTACAATTTTCCATCAGCCAGTATAAATTGAAGAATATCCTAAAAAAATCAATATGATTTTAATTGCGTAATTTATATGTAATTACGAACATTATTACTTACATATATTGATCAGCTAACATTTGTAATGTCGATATACCTATTCCTAGTTAAGTGGTACTTCTGCTAAAAACTGATTAAAGGTGATCAAACGGTGTAGTCTGGTATACGATTCTTTTGTTCTGCGGACACGAAAAATACATCCAAATTAGAATTACTCGTTGACTATGGATATTAAAAAAATAATTTTGTGACATTTCACAAAAAAGATATGTTTACAACAATTAAAAAGAAAAATTATAAAATATGTAAAAATATAAAATTTATTATACTTTATGAATTAAATAATCACTTTTTATATTTTACACTCACATAATTTTATAAGAAAATGTATTTTTTTTTAATTCAATTAGGTTTTTTATTTTAATTTCAATTACTTGTTGCTTACACTTCTTTAATCCTCAAGTTCTTATTATCAAATGACGCTTTGTGGTGTTTTAGAGAGAAAAATGGCATATTCAACAATGATGTTGCACCTTCAAAAATTAAATGATTCGTATAAATATTGAAAGTTTAATATTGAAAATACATAGAAACAGTAAGCAATACATGTTTGAACTTCAACTTTTTTTAACAATGACGTCACAGTAAAAATGTCAATTAAACTCAAATATATATTTATTTTTTTTCTTTAAATAAGAAAAGGTGCCCTTTTAAGTATATTTAACTAAACAAATGAAAGGAATAGGAAACGCAATTGCTATTCTAAATTCACATTTATACTTACCTTTAATAACATATATTTTGTTTTTATTTAATTTTTATTTTTATACCCTCCACCACCATCAGTGGTGATAGAGGGTATATATAAGTTTGTCATTCCGTGTGTAACATCAAGAAATATTCATCTGAGACCCAACAAAGTATATATATTCTTGGTCCTTATGAAATCCTGAGTCGATTTAGCTATGTCCGTCTGTCTGTCTGTGTAAAACACGCTCACGATAAATAGAAGCATTGGAAATTAACGAAATTCAGCAAAAATGAGCAAAATCGGTTCACATCGGGAAAAGTTATGAATCAAAATTTGAAACATGCATTTTTTATACATTCTGATGTAATTTTCTCGAAATCTATGCAAGATAATTTCATGAAAGTCATCATACGTTTGTTTCTATACAAGATCTTGATTCCTGCTGAAAATTGCCAGAATCGGTCCATAATTTCATATACCTCCCATACAAAAGTATATACTCCCGGAAAATTAGTTTGTTGTTAATAACTTCCGTCAGAATGCTGAATCTTCTCAAAATTTTAAAACTTAAAATCTTATGTCAATAGAATTCATTGAGAGAAAAAATTTTCTGGATGGGTCCATAATTGGCCATAGCTCCCATACAAGGTCCCCTCCCGAAAATCACTTAAACGCACATAACTCATTACTAAATTAAGATATCCACATAAAATTTGGTACAAGTATTGCTCTCACATACAGAAATATTAATATGAAATTTTTTTCCGATCGGTCCATATGTGGTCATAGCTCCCATACAAGGTCCTTTTACGAAAATCTTTTGAACGCATATTACTCATTACCAAATAAAGCTTTTGATACAAAATTTGGCACAGATATTAGTTTGGTATACAAAAATTCTATTTCAAGATTTTTTCACGATCGGTTCATAACATGGGTGCGTTCGGTCCTATGCAAGGTTCCCTTCAGAAAATCACTTGAACACACATTACATATTACTAAATTACGATATAGATACAAAATTTGACTGAAATATTGTTTTTATGTACAGAAATTTAGCTTAAAAAAGTTTCTACGATCGGCCTATAATTGGTCATATCTCCCATACTAGGTCCTGCCCCTAAAAGCACTTTAACCGTATTTAACTAGTTGCATTATCAATTTGTGTAGAACAAAGTAATATATATATATATATATATATATATATATATATATATATATATATGTATATATATATATATATATATATATATATATATATATATATATATATATATATATATATATATATATATATATAAATTTTGGAATTGTAACAAATTTAAGCTGTTTAAATCTTGGGGTTTTTCTATTTAAGACATGAGAAAACTTATTTCTACAAATATTTGATCAATTAAAAAAGTATTAATATAAAAGTAGCTGGTAGAGGGTATTTAAGATTCGGCTCAGCCGAATATAGCATTCTAACTTGTTAATATTAAATTAATTTGAGAACACACACACTGTTTGCTCTTTAAAAGAGTAAATTTTTATTAAAATATTTGAAAATTAATTTTTATAGGAATAATTTCAAATGTTTAATAGAAAAATAAAATAAATTTCATAATTGAGGATCATGTAATTTTATAAGGTTTTATTGTAATAGTCATATGAGACATTTAGGAAAATATTTTGATCGCAATGAAAATGTACAACCATGTTTTTTCTTTGCGTGTAGCTACAGTAAAACGAATTGTAAGAAGGGCCAAGGCTTTAGAAATATTAAAACATTAATAAAACTTTTAATTGGTGTGGCTTTTATTAAAAGCCACAATAAATTGCCACTCGTAAAGAGAAATCCTCTTCAGTTTGCACGTGAACACATGTTTATAAAAAGCTATATCAACATCTTGTTTTTTCGGATGAAAAAATGTTTAATTTAGAAGGTCCAGATCGATATAATCATTATTTATATGATTTTTAAAAGGAAGAGCTCTACCTGAGTCGTTTGCATAGCTGTTGAGGATGTGAGATTTCGTATTATGAAACATGTGAGCTTAAATTTCTTTCAGCTAGTAAGAATTGTAATAATTGTAATGTCATACTGGATACAGCTTTTTTCACATTTTTGGATATCTTTGAACCATTGCCGTGGATATTTCAAAAATATAATGGCCCGATCCATACCGCCAGGGATGTAAAATGGTGGATTCGAAGCCAGAATGTAAAAATTTTGGAGTGGCCTCCATAATCTTTTCACCTATTTATTATTGAAAAGGTTTCGGATATTCTTTCTCATAATGTGTATAGGTCGGGCAGACAGTATGACACAAAAGAAGCCTAAATTGAAGGAACTAAATAGGCTTGGACCGAAATTTCCTTGCAATTACTTAAGAATCTTTATAACTCTTAATCACCTCGAATTTTCGGAGTTATATCAAGTAGCGGCGGATATGTTCCTTAGTAAATTTTTTCTAAAACCTTGTAAAAGTGTTTATAAAAATAAAAAAAATTATGAAAATGCAATTTGTTGTTGTTTTTGTCAATTAAAGATGACGAACCTATTCATGGCTCATGTCGTTCAAAAACGTAGTATTTAAAAAAAAAAAATATATAAAAAATCTGTTATTAAGTATTGCACTAATGTTTGTCTATCTAGTGATATATAAGACATCATGGTATTAATTAAAATTTTAATATAACCAATTAGTCCATTATTTTTTGCAAAAAATTAATTCGAATGTAAACAAAACAGTGAACCTATTGTAGTAATTAGACAAGATAATTAAGCACCTTATGAATGGTTACTTGGACGTGTGACCAAAACACACCCTGGTTCTGATGGTAGAAATAGAGTAGTTGACATACAAACTTCAACTGGAACTGTAACCCGACCAATTACTAAAATTTTTGTTTTACCCGCTAATTAGTCTAATACCTTTACTCAAACCCTAACCCAAAATGACAATATCGTTAATTATTTCAACTAACCCATATACTAACCCTAATATATTATGAATCATTTAACACTTCACCCTAACACACTCTCTCATAACATTTAATTTCATAATCCATTTTTCTAATTTCTCTTAACAATTTACGTTAACTAAGAACTAATTCAAATTTAACGTAACTAATATTAACTAAAAATATGTATAAATAATTCAAATTTAACATAACTAATATTAACTAATATAAACTTTATCCCTATTGTGACATAATAATAACCTAATATTATAACTAAACTATGTCTAAATTATTCTTAACCTGATCGTATGATTAAACTTTGTATAGTCTAGATCTAACTTAATTCATCTTAAAATAACCTAATTCTAATTTGAAATTAAATTATCTAATGTTATCTTAAACTTTTAATAATTTAACTAATTAATTTAAAAAAATACTTTATTTTAATTTAAATTATCTTTTAATATTAATTTGTATTAATTACTAACTAACTTTGATTTAAAATCTAATTTAATATAATGTAATTAGCGAAATAATTTTATAATACACTTTATACTTAAACATAAAATTTGTAAATACATACGAATTTTGAGAATTAGATTTAGCAAAATCCATCAAGAAGCCAATTTCAACAGTGAGTGAGTGTGGTGAGTTCTTAAATAGTAATAATAACAATATAATTCTCAATATTTCATAATACACTAATGGTGATTTCTTTTCCAGCATAAATGGTGCATTTATTCTGCCTTTTGCCCTTCTTTGTGTTCTTTTGTTAAAAAATTTAACTTTGTAAATGAATAACGTGTTCTTTTCAAATAATGTAGCCCTAAAAATCTGAAAATATGCTACATGTTTCACCCTGAATTTAATCAAAGGGTTGGAAGTGCAGCACTATTGAAACAGATGTTCTTGTTATTGTTTTGAAAAAAAAAATAACAAAAAATATTTGGTTTAAAAATGTTGAAATGGAAGCAAAAAGTATAATTTTGGAAGATTTGTTGGAATCCTCTTCATCGTCAAAGGAGGAGGACATGTATCCATTATTATTGGAACGAAAGTACTTGCCGCGAGTTAAAAATTTTGTTGAAAATGTTATTTATCCATATTCCCCAAATGATGTGAGTAAATACACATATTCCAAGTGTTGGCTATTTATAGTTTAATATATTTTATTTCACCTCAGTTTAAAAAAAATTTGCGACTTACCTGAGAAAGCGCACAATACCTGATAGAAAGATATTCTAACTGGTATTTGGTAAGAACGTATCAAGGAGGAAGAAAGCAGACAAGTGTAGAAACACAAATTCTTTCATTTTTGTGGTAAATTATTTAAAATAAAAAAATCTTTAACGAAAAAGTATTTTTACAGCTTTAGTGGCAACAAAACAACCTTTAGAGAGGTGGCAAATGTGTTTGACATGTCATTATCAAATCTTCATAATTCTTTCCAACAAATTTTAAAATTTTTATTGGATGAAATAGCTTCTGAAGCTATAAAAAAAGTTATTTCCAATGATTTTCAACAGGTGTCACAGAAAGTAACTTTCTATAAAAATATTTTTAACTCATTATAATTTTTAGATATCTGGTTTCCCAAATGTTTTAGGGTGCATAGACGGAAGCTATATTTCTGTTAGAACTCCTAAACACAAAATCCGTTCTACATACGCAAATAGACATGATACAGTGTCAATAACTCTGCAGGGCATCTGTGATTCGAAGCTGCGTTTTTTAGACGTATATACAGGAGTTCCAAGTAAAATTCACGACTCAAGAATATTAAAACTTTCATTTATAGGCAAAGAATTGCAAAATTTATGTGCACCAAATTACCATTTATTGGGAGATTCAGCTTATCCACTAAGGGAATATCTTTTAACACCATTCCATGATTATGGCAACTTGAGTGACTCCGAAAAAAACTATAATTTGAAATTTTGCCAGTCACGTGTCAAAATTCAGAATGCGTTTGGTGTTCTTAAAAGTCGCTTTTGACAATTGATGCGACTTGATTTCCATAATGTGGAAACAATGGCACAATTTGTTATTGCAACTTGCGTTCTCCATAACATTTGCATCGAAAAAAATTATTTGTTTAATGAAGAAGTAACTATCAATGAAATACGTATAAATTCCGAGCATAACGACGATGATAGACGTGATAGATTGTTAACGCAGATGGGACAAACGAAAAGAAATGAAATTAAAGACCTTTTGTATAAACATAGTATCACAAAAAATTATTTGTACTTTTTTTTAAATTCTTATTTATTTTTAGCTTCCAAAACTTTTTGCAGTAAGGCCATTTTTTCCTGGTGTCGTCTTTCCTTAGCTTCTTCCTTCTTCTCTGCAATTTCTAGTAATTTTTCTTGAATTGTTTTCTTTTTTATTTTTGTCTCTTCAGTTTTTTTTAATGTCTTTCTTTTCTACTTTTAAAAACTTTTGGCTGCTTATTTCATCCATTAAACTTATTTTGTTTAGATCTTCTTCAAAATCTATACTTTTCCTTTTCGAACCGGAGGATTTGTTGTTTTCAACTGACACTTTTTTTCTTTTTAATATAGTTTTATACCGCTCCTCGCACTGCTTGGGAGTTTTATCTGGAATTCTTGACGCAATGTCTGCCCACATTTCTTTTTTTGTTTTAAATTTCTTCATTGGATCAATATCAACCATGTAATTGGCATAAAAGTCCAAGAGCTGTCTAGTCTCTCCATCAGTCCACACTAAAAAAGTAATTTCATTAGTTAAATAAAAATGTATTTAATGCAGCCTTTTTACTTACTTTGAATTCTTTTGTATGTTGTTGGTGATTCAGAGGCCTCGGATTCCATTTTCCTTGGTTTATAAGTATTTAATTTAATTTATTTTCTTTTTAAAATTTTTTTTCTTTTAAAAAATGTCTACAAAGAAACATATAGCTATTTATGTATTATTATCTCAACAAAAAATATTTGAGATGTGTTAACGTAAAAATTAACATTTTTTAAAATTGTAATAAGAAGCTTGTTTATAAATGCTTTTAAATGGAATTTAATTATTTATTTGGTTTGAGATGAGTTAATGTAAAAATTAAAATTTTTTAAAATTGTAATAAGAAGGTTATTTATAAATACTTTTAAATGGAATTTGGTTATTATATTTTGTAATAATATTTCTCCAAAAATTATATTTTTGATTTGATTTGTAGCTATATCGAAAAAATCTAAAAAAATTACTAAAGCCCACGGTAAAAATATTATTATTTTTTTTTTCTTTAAAACATTCTTCGTAAAGTTAGCTTTCCGAAAATAATAAATAATTTTATTGGAAATTATTTGGATAATTAAAAAAAAAATATTTTTTCATTTTGTATATAATCATTAGTTTTAAAATCGTTAATTACTTAAAAAAACGCTAAATGGATAAAAAAACAACCTAAATAATTGCATAAAGGACATTATGAGGGTTTCTGTAACCTCTAATAAGTGCTACAAAACATGTTGGCAACATTTTTTATCAGAAAAGAAATCACCATAACATTTACATAACCAAAAATTTAAATACATTCCATTATTTACATTTAATATAATGTTTAATCTTGAATTTTTTTAATAAACTTGTGATTGTTAATTTATACTATGTTAAATTAAATATTTTGTGTTATTCATAACCATGAAATGTTAGGGTAATAGATACGGCTATCAGAACGATAAGGATATGATAGCATGGCAGGGAGGGTAGAGAGGGTAGAGGAAGTAATACCATCTTCTTTCTTACTTCTAATTTCAAACCAGCTTTAGTTTAGTTTCTTTTATTTCTTTATATTTTTGGTTAACAGTGGTATAGCTAGCTACCTTTTTAAATTTATTTTTTTGACGGATCTTAACTTATCTCAAGGGAAACAAGGACACCATCCCATTACCCTGAGTACGGTCGGATTGAAAGGCAGCATACGTTTCCTGAGAGATAGGACCATGGTTAGTCTGGTCCGTTACAAGCGATAGTACCCTAACACCCTTTAAAGTAGACAACGAAGGTGCTAATTGCGCCCAATCTTACCTCCAACCTTAGGTATGAGGTTCGCATGGAGGTAGTCAAGGATCTTCCTAAAACACCATACCCAAACGCCATGGATGAAGTGATAAAAAATAAAATTTGTCTCATTGCACTGGCTCATCCTGAGTTTTACTCCAACAAACCAGTTTCTATGGAGATTGGTGGAGACCTTTATACCACAATCCTGCAACCCAATGTGATCCACATCGATGGATGATCTCTAATTGCACATCGATGGATGATCACTAATTGGCTGACTGGTCATGGGATCCTCTACCCAATAAACCCACACACAACGAAGTATTTTACATGCATAATTTACCCTACTACCCAACACCCTTTTTTATTGAATAAATACAAATAATTGTCCTTTTCTCCTCACAGGTTGCCAGGTCCGGGAGAATGTTCACATAGGTGAACACATAACAGTGTCCATCCCTGGTGTCCATCAACACCCACAACAAACTGCAGCCAACTTCATAAGTATAAAACGTCAGTTGCAGCTTTTTGCTTTTTTATACCTCCACCACCATGAGTGGTGATAGAGGGTATATATAACTTTGTCATTCCGTGTGTAACACCAAGAAATATTCATCTGAGATCCAACAAAGTATATATATTCCTGGTCCTTATGAAATTCTGAGTCGATTTAGCTATGTCCGTCTGTCCGTTCGTCCGTCTGTCTGTCAGTGTAAAACACGCTCACGTAAAAACGAAGTAAAATAAATTATTGAAATTTGGCCAGAATATTCCCTATTGTCCCTAGAACCAAAATCACTTAAACGCGCATAACTCATTACTAAATTAAGATATCCATATAAAATTTGGTACAAGTATTGCTCTTATATACAGAAATATTTCTGTGAAATTTATTTCCAATCGGTCCATAATTGGTCATAGCTTTCACACAAGGTCCCCTCCTGAAGCTCACTTAAACGCACATAACTCATTACTAAATTAAGATATCGAAATAAAATTTAGTACAAGTATTGCTCTTATATACAGAAATGTTACTGTGAAATTTTTTTCAGATCAGTCCTTAATTGGTCATAGCATCTATATAAGCAAGATTCTCTACCGAAAATCACTTAAATGCACATAACTCATTACAAAATTAAGATATCGATATAAAATTGGTACAAGTATTGCTCTTATATACAGAAATATTACTGTGAAATTTTTTTACCATCGGTCCATAATTAGTCACATCTAGATCCTGCCCCGAAAATTTAAATTTTAGGGCAAGCAATTTAAGGCACTTTAAAAATATAAAAGAAAATGGCGTTTGTAATGTTCAATAACTCTTGCAATTGTAACAGATATAAGCTGTTTAAATCTTGGGGTTTTTCTATTTAAGACATGAAAAAACTTATTTCTACAAATATTTGCTCAATTAAAAAAGTATTAATATAAAAGTAGCTGCTGGAGGGTATTAAATATTCGGCTCAGCCGAATTTAGCACTCTAACATGTTTTCTCTTACTTCTGAACAACCTGTGTGAAGAACAACAAGTGTGTGCTAACAAACCACCAACCGAAACAACAAACCCTACAACAGCAAATTAAATTAAGTAAATTAAGTTTGTAAATAAATAAATTTAAAAATTTTACACCTAGTGAGAAAACTTAAAAAACTAGTGATAAAACTTAAAACTAAAAGTAAAATATTAAAACTTAAATACTAATCTTGCAATTGTAACAGATTTAAGCTGTTTAAATCTTGGGGTTTTTCTATTTAAGACATGAGAAAATTTATTTCTACAAATATTTGTTCAATTAAAAAAGTATTAATATAAAAGTAGCTGGTGGAGGGTATTAAACATTCGGCTCAGCCGAATATAGCACTCTAACTTCTTTTCTCTTACTTCTGAACAACCTGTGTGAAGAACAACAAGTGTGTGCAAACAAACCACCAACCAGAACAACAAACCCTACAACAGCAAATTAAATTTTAAAGTTTGTAAATAAATAAATTACTAAATTTTACACCTAGTGAGAAAACTAGTGGTAAAACTTATATTAAAACTTAAATACTAATTAAAAACAAGTAAGAGTGCTTTAATCGGCTGTGCCGAATCTTATATATACTTAGTGTATTTAAAAAATATCAATTTTATAAAATTTTAATTTACATGTGTATTTCATTTTCCCGACTATATCAATATTATAGCAAAAGCAAAACATAATGAACAACAACAATGCTAAACGAAATAAACACACAAAAAACAAAATACACAAGGCAGGCAAACCAACTGACATCCAAACATACGAAACGAAATACACAAAAAAACAAAATACACAACGCAATGAAACCAACAGACATCCAAACATACGGAACTGAATTCACCTAGAAACAAAAACAATATACACAAGGCAATGAAACACACAGCCATCCAAACATACGAAACTGAATACCAGGGTTCCAAACAGGGTTCCAAATATTCATTCACTTAACACTCACGCACATGAAAAAAATAAATAAATTTTGTTTTGTGATCTTCCATTCGTGTATAAAAACAAACAAAAAAAAGTTTGCTTTTTCATTCTTGCATGATACTATAGTATCACACAGCCATCCAAACATACGAAACTGAATACCAGGGTTCCAAACAGGGTTCCAAATATTCATTCACTTAACACTCACGCACATAAAAAAAATAAATAAATTTTGTTTTGTGATCTTCCATTCGTGTATAAAAACAAACAAAAAAAAAGTTTGCTTTTTCATTCTTGCATGATACTATAGTACTCCTGGTATTCAGTTTCGTATGTTTGGATGGCTGTGTGTTTCATTGCCTTGTTATACCCACCATCAAAAAAGATGGGGGGTATATTGATTTTGTCATTCCGTTTGTAACACATCGAAATATTGGTCATAGACCCACAAAAGTATATATATTCTGGGTCCTCATTAAATTCTAAGTCGATCTAGCCATGTCTGTCCGTCTGTCCGTCCGT